AACAAGTGTTAAAAAGCCCGATCATTTTGCGTTTTGTTGTTAAATGTTCTATAGCCCTGCGGCACCTTACACAGGCTATAGTACTAGAGCTAACCGCACGCTAGCTGCTGCACACTGACACATAAATATATAGCAGGTAGGAAAGCATGCTGCCAAAATTCGCTCGCCGCTCGCTTGATTTTACACGAATACACCACAAACATTCAACCATTCTACTCCATCTTTGCTGCTATTTGAAGGGCAGTGTTCACTTGTTCTAAAAACATACTGTCTGTGTTCGTAACCAAGCTGTGTCACGCGAAATCACACAAAGCCTGACGAAATTCTCACATTCGCTCCCGTTGCGCAGTTTATGTAAATGGCTGTCGGAATCAGGAAACACCCACCGGCGCTCTTCGTGACCTCATTTTTGCGCCGCATTATTGCAACGCTCCACTGGCGGCTTTAACGAGGTTCGTACGGGAGTTGGAAAGCAGTGTGGTAGTTTCCCAAAATGCAGTGCGCCGCCTATAGCCCTGTACTTGCACTTGCAGCCATTTACATAAACTGCGCAACGGGAGAGAATGCAAGAATTTCGTCAGGATTTGTGTGATTTCGCGTGACACAGCTCGGTTACGAACACAGACAGTATGTTTTTATAACAAGTGAACACTGCCCTTCAAATAGAAACAAAGATGGAGTAGAATGGTTGAATGTTTGTGATCTATTCGTGTGAAATCAAGCGAGCGTCGAGCGAATTTTGGCAGCACGCTTTCCTATTTGCTATATATTTATGTGTCAGTGTGGAGCAGCTAGCGTGCGGTTAGCTCTAGTACTATAGCCTGCGTAAGGTGCCGCAGGGCTATAGAACATTTAACAACAAAACGCAAAATGATCGGGCTTTTTAACACTTGTTTATCTACATGGACATCTCACCTATCTTTTTGAACACTTTCCACAACACAGCCTATTACATTTCGGGTGACGTCACGCATGTACACAACATCATTTGAAAAACGAAACGCATAAATACATGGTGTAAAGTTGTAGAGTGTTCAAAAAGATAGGTGAGATGTCCCTGTAGACAAATAAGTGTTAAAAAGCCCGATCATTTTGCGTTTTGTGAGCCATTTTTCGTGGAAGCATTGGGGGACAGGTGCAGTTACGAAACCTGGCATAAAATGTTCTATAGCCCTGCGGCAACTGTACGCGGGCTATACTACCGGTATACTCTATAGTACTAGAGCTCATAGGGTCTATGTAACTCAGGGTACTGCCAGAACGTACCCTGGTAACTATTTGATATGGTTAGGGTTAGGGTTAGGGAGTAGGCGTAGGCGACTCCCTAGACTTGTTAGTGGAGTAGACAAAGTACGGACCGGCATATTAGATAGTACCAGGGTACGTTCCGGTATACCGGACCGTATCCAGGGTACGTTCCGGCAGTACCCTGGGAGATAGCTCTAGTACTATAGCCCGCATACAGTGACTGCCGCAGTCACTATACGCGGGCTATAGTACTAGAGCTACCTGGGGGACATAGACCCTCTCAGCAGTACTATAGGAGTATAGGCTAGCGTGTGGTGTACTTGTGTGTTGCAGATGAGCATTTGACCGGCATTTACAGGTGATTATAGGCGAAATGGAGTAGAGAAACATTAAGACTTTGGTAGTAAATACATTTCGTGTTTATTTACCTTCTTTTTTTTGAGACGTTCCAAGCGGCAAGTGCCTGTGTTAGCCTATTGGACTTTCGCAACTTGCCCGAGTGAATCGATTATTCGATATTTTCACTTCAACTAAAACTACCGTTATAGGGAGTAACTTACAAAATATTTTAGTGGTTTAACATTAATGACAATTATTTAACTTACTATTCTTTTATAATCATGGTGTCCTATTAATTATAAGCTACAATCACGTAAATTTCAGGTGATCAGAGTCAAAGTCCATAAAATTTCCGTAAGGATTTCATGTTCCGGAAGTATACTGGTACCTTCCAGAAGTGGCGAAATGTTGTACGACTGTATAATCTATTTTCCAAAAATAGCTAATAAACAAGAATTTTATTTACTAATAATTTTATCGCTATCTGTTATTAACATTTTCGCTTATATAAGACAATATATGCGTGTTTTAGGTTAACATTCATTTTATTCGTATCGCATTGTATTGCCTATTTAACCCATAATGCATAATAAATAATCAAAATATGCATGGAAATATTTTTCTAATTCTAATTGTCTTTTAAATTTGAGTAATCACAGTTAATAAATTAATGTGGGGGTGCTGAATAAATAACGGAGAACTCAGATATCAACGATACAGTTCGATACTCCCAAGAAATCGAGTAAACATGGCAGCGCTATGGCGAGCATCGAAATCGGGTGAATTCCTCTATAATTTATAAATTATAGTATACAATCACAAACAGATCATTATACGTTTTATATTTTGCTACTAATTGTATTTTTAAACTCGTGTAATCTTGTGATGTCTATGGTTTGTACCCATGATCGCATACTACAACTTGGTCAAAGTTGAAAAAGTGCAACTTTCAAAATCCTTGACATTATGATTGTAACTAACTAACTGTGACTGTATATCACTATCAGTGTATGTCAAGGTGTTGACTGTTGTAATTGTCGCAAATAAAAGCTGTCACTTAGTTAGTAATTGCCGTGCTAATGATATGACTGTAATTATGATAGAGGGTGAATGATAATAATAACCCGTGGCCTTTAAAAAAATCTATACAGTTTTATTTCGATATATACAGTTTATATGTAACACAGATTATATTTTCTAGACTATACATGATAATACAGTTCGATTTGAAACAAAAACTAGTGGAGAAGCAGCCAATTTTTAAATGTTAAATCCGCTAACCTCACAAAGAAAGTAGCCAAGACGTCGCAAACGCTGCATGTGTAGCCTTTGTATATTTATATCTAACTGACGTCTCATATCTAATTATAGGCAGTTCCCTTCTGATGCATCTTGCAAGACCGGCTGCTGTCACACAATCTAGAAGTGGAACAAACTACAGTAAGTTGGCTGCGTGTCAAATAGTAAACCTGAAGGAGTGTTCAGAGCTGGATATTGTTATCACGAAGTCATTGATTGGAATCGGCGAGCTATTGGCTTGAGTAAATTTCAAACGATCATTGACTCATATGCATAATGCAGCAACGAACCTGCTCAGCACTCAAGTTCTCCACTTGTAAAGTAATTTTTGCAATGTTGAAATTTATCATTTAATTATTGATCTAAATCTTCAGTAATGGTTTATACATGTATTTTTTCACATGAACTTCATCTTATACAAGGCTGTATTAGGGTGATTGTTAAATATATCATTATCATAATGCAGCTGTGTATATTAGTTAATTTTGCACATACATACATGTAAATCTAGGTCTTGTTTAACTAGTTCAAGTTAACCCCGGTGATCCTAGCATGGACTGGAAAGACATCACAGACAGGGCTGCAGGGACAGTGTTCATCACTGAGCTTGTGAGAGGTGCGTTCTTTTCATTTTGCCTATCCTTTTGTGTCATAATTCTAACCTGTTTAACTTTACAGCAGGTTACATGTACTCTTTAGTAATATAACCTGTTAAACCTGCAAAAATGCCGACTTTGTCAGTTATTGTAAATCTGATGGTCACATTTAAATAGCTAAATAGCTAAAAGATGTTTATTGAGCACCACTTTGACAATGATTACATGGGCATATATATATACAGGGTTCTCCAAGCTTTTAAATTATAGCATGGGGGTGCTACTCACTGCTAGGGTGGTCCGGGGGCATGCCCCCCGAAAATTTTTTGAATTGTAGAAGCTCTGAGATGCAATCTGGGACACTCTGTGTGTAAATTTGAAGCACTGCATGTGTGGTGAAATGTTTGTTTTGCATGGGCAAAGCCATCGGAAAATTTAAAATAATTATTAGCTTATGAGCTTGGAAAACACTCAGTATTTGAAGGTATTGAAACGTGAACATTATGTGCCTAGCATAGCCTACACTCAGGTTGGCTGTTGATTGTCAGTTCAGTCAAATATAGAAAAGGCAACAAGGTTATGCAACCATAGCATTAGTGTTTTTGTACTATAACAAGCTGCGTATCAAATAGCCGAGTTTCGGATTGAGAGCTAGTGTTTAGGTTGAGGGATAGGGAGGACTGTTTTGTACTTGTGTGTGGATGCCGTACGCATAGCATCGAGACCAACGTGTATTTTAAATAATTATTGTCTTGAACCTTGTTGTGTATACACTTAAGCATGGCGCTTATGATATTTGAGCGTGGGCGGGTGCATTTTAGAATATGGCGGAGCTCGACGATAGCCTGGGCGGGCCGCCAGGGCTAATAAGTGCCTTGGAGAATATATATTTATACAGGGTTCTTATACATAGGAGGCACAGTGGCGGCAGGCGCGCGTTGTCAATTTAGACATCCCGTTGTGCAAACATGCTTTCCTGTATTGTACTGTAATTAGTATCACTGTATCTATATCCTATAAGCTATATGAATACATCCTGTTTATTTGAATCCATAATGCGGGCGTTTTTTCCCCCAAACTGGCCATTACCTTCTTTGATAATTTGCGCTCAGAAGAACTGATACTATATATTATGGCAAATATGATCAGTATGGTATATACAATAATATAGTTGTTATTGTTAAGTGTCTATAATTAGAGGCGTAGGTAAGACACTGAAGTCAGTACATACTACCAGGCTCAAACTGGTTTTATACCCCGTGTCCGACTCTCTAGGTGCTGGCGTCGTGCTTGGTCACTTGTTCAAGGAGCCAGCGACGATCAACTACCCGTTTGAGAAGGGACCACTGAGTCCACGCTTCAGGGGCGAGCACGCGCTACGCCGCTATCCGTCCGGCGAGGAACGATGCATCGCATGCAAGCTCTGTGAAGCCATCTGCCCCGCACAGGTGCAAGCGCGCGACATCTCGTTATCGTTAGCGTTGATCAGGTTCGGCAGCCATAGGCTCGCCGCCCATGTTTTATGTTTCTATTGTTTCGATTGCCACTAGGAGGTATTGCCATCCAACTTTTTGAGTGGGGTGGGCAGGAGGTTAAAGGAAGTTGGGAACGATTGAGGTTAAAGCTTACCATGACGTGGTAAACTCCTCTAGCTTGGGGACAGGAGATTGGCAAGTGACAATCTTACTGCTTGGGAATAGAGGAACAGCATAAATCTTATCGGTCACTCGAGAGCTGTGGTAAGATGCACAGCTCTGCCGACTGAAAAGTTACACATACTGGTCCACAATTCATTATCTGCAATTCCGAAAAGTCGAAAAGCTCTGAAAGCAGGAAGTTTTTTTTGGGGAGAGCATCATTTGTGTGTAAAATATGAAAACTAAACTGTAATACTATTCAGGGAGTGTATCAAAAGGAGTAAGGGCACGCAAAACCGGCAAAATTCAACATTTAGTAGCCTTAGTCTACTATGATTTATTGTGTTACCTCGATAACTTGAGCTCAAGTATTGCCTTAATCATTAAACTTTATCCGTGTCTTATCGTTTGGTCTCATAAAAATGACAAATCCGGAGATATCGGTTCAAACGTACAATGTGGTTTTATCAATTTACATCGCTTTGTTTTGATCTGTAAACCGAAACATAAGAACAATGCTTTTGAAAGCCCTCTATCGTTTAGCAATGCAAACATAGCAAAGAACTAGCGAGGTTTGCTAGGGATTTTGGAAAGTTAAACACGCCTTGTTGTGATTATGGCCTGTCCGATGACAAGTAATTACATGTTATGAAGCAATATTTTAAGAACAAATACAAATGGATAGAAATACTAAACATGTGAAATTTTTTTATTTCTAATGTAATAGTATCATATACACACACGTCGTGTTTAACTTTCCGAAATCCTAGCAAACCTCGCTAGCTTCTTTGCTATGTTTGCATTGCTAAACGATAGAGGGCTTTCAAAAGCATTGTTCTTATGTTTCGGTTTAACAGATCAAAACAAAGCGATGTAAATGATATAAACCACATTGTACGTTTGAACCGATTATCTCCGGATTTGTCATTTTTATGAGCCAACGATTTGACACGGATAAAGTTTAATGATTAAGGCAATACTGAGCCTCAAGTTTATCGACGGTAAACACAATAAATCATAGGTAGACTAAGGTACTAAATGTTGAATTTGCGGTTTTTTAGGGTGCTCTACTCCTGTTTGATACACTCCTGATACTATATATATACTATCATACTTCAGAGTCTTTATTTATCCCACTCAGTGCGGTTATTCATAAGGTTTGCTACTGAAATACCAGTATGTGAAGATTTGTGACTCCCGAATTCAGATCTGGTTCAAGGGTTTTGGATAAAGAATTGTGGATCTGTACCTCAATACCCATCTTTACTCCTGGGCAATTACCAGGATGTCATCTTACAAAGGAACCACTATAAACACCACACCGCTCTCCGACAATTTTGATTGGTCACGTGTGAGCACTCGACATATGAAAAGCTGTTAGAAGCACCGGCAACGACTGCACAGGTTGTGTGAGTAATCGTCGGATCGACTTCCTCCGCAGGCGATTACGATCGAGGCGGAGCCGAGAGAGGACGGCAGTCGACGCACGACGCGCTATGACATCGACATGAGCAAGTGCATCTACTGTGGATTCTGTCAGGAAGCTTGTCCGGTCGACGCCATCGTCGAGGTAACGAGCTGCTGTGCACGGCGTGTGGTTCGTGCCAATGGTCTATAGATAATAACTGGGTGTAGTGTAGTGTGGTAGAAGGATACGCAGGTGGGAAACCTGGCAGGGGTCGCGACGTGAGTGCTCCTTCTGGATAATAACTTGGTAATGACATGCAGTCCATGCCATTGATCTATATATAATAAGTGGGTAGTGCATTGTACTATGACAGCAGTGCTAGCAGAAGATGTCGATTGGTGGCCATATTGGTCAGCTAAGAAATGGTTATAAGCATGGTAATTTAACAAAAATGCATTGAAACAGTGTTCAACATCCTTACTGTTAACCACTGCTGATAATTAAACTTGGGCTGACCAGTTTGGTGACCAACTGGTGTAATGTAATTCTTATAATGAGTTATTCAGTTATCATATATGTAGATCAGTGATTCATGCATAGGGGATATGTTGTTCAGAATATGCTATTCTGTGGTATGCTGATTTAAAAGTTGTCCGGTAAGGCAGCAAACCAACAAACATAATGAAGACCAATGTGATTTAATTAATAACAATAAAAATATTCTCAGAGTCAATAATAATCCAATACAAAAAAAGGTATCAGAGGTTAAAAGGTAACTCTGGTAATTTATGGCCTATTTATTATAACAATAATATTTTTGAGGCAAGTAACTGAGTAAGTTTTTCCCGGCAGGGCCCCAACTTTGAATTTTCGACGGAGACGAGAGAGGAGATGCTGTACAACAAGGAGAAGCTCCTGAGCAATGGTGACAAATGGGAGCCGGAGATTGCCGCAAACCTTCAGGCTGACCACCTCTACAGATAAACACAGATGGCGTCGTATGTGTCTGTGATGCGTCATACGTGCCTACTTGGTGCCCGATTTTGACGTACTGTCTTAGTCTCCATATAAACAAACCATAACAGAAACGATGCGCTCTTGAGTTAGACATGCTTGTCAAATGGGTGCTTATTTATTTAATGAATATAAAAATTGGGTCAGTTTAGTAGGCACTTTTATGGACACAGCTTGAATATTGTTTGGTAATTGTTTAGGTTGTTAAGTTTTATAAGTAAGCGAGATAAGTGAGTATGAGCTGTTAACCATCAAGGACTTGTAGGTAATAAGGTGACTCCATCTAGTGGTGAGAAAATGTCTAAACGAAGGTTTCCAGCAAGAGTATTTTTACCATTTTTGCAAACAAAGTTAACAGTACGAGTCTGTTTTTTGTGTTTTGCTAATGAACTGCTAAGTAACTGTTAGGAGGTGCAGTACAAAAAATCATTTTGGTTGTAGGTACCATGTAGTGCAGCAATCATCCAAGTGTAAATAAAACTGTTGTGTTTACAAAAATAATACATTTGTTTTTAATTATTCACAGTTACACCAGGGACCATATCTTGTCTATAATAGAACAATAAAAAATATGTGCTGCCATAATTTGCTACTAATAACACAGCTTTATTAGCTTATCAAAATGGAAAGGGCTAATGTATTGCAGTATAAGATTGACATATCATTTACATAAAAACTGCCACACAATTGCTTCACAGCTAACCATAAACCACATTTAAACTAATCCACACAAACAATGTCTAGGTGACCAGCACATGACCCTGGTAAAAAAATTTGAGGAATTTGTGATTGATATATAAAGCTATAGATTAAAGGATAGTTCTGCAACCAGGGTCATTTGCTACTTAGTGTGTGTACACGTAAATCTAGGGGTTAAGCAGACTGCTGTTTCTGCCACTGTTCCGGCGTGTAGGTCTTCTGAGAGAAGGCGTGGATCGTTTTGAGTTCCTCTGCCAGACATGTGTTTACCAACCTTGACAGGAAGAATTATAATGTTCGATTTTATTTACTCAACTCCATTATGAATTAGGCAAAATCCATGTAAAATTCCAAATGTTGACTATTTTTAACCATAAATTTACACATACACAAATACGTACATATAATAAACATATATTCATACTCTGATATCACTTGTTTGACTAAGCTTACTCAAACTATGCCTATAAACTGCCCATGAGATATTGCTTACAAGTTGATGGTAACCAACAGGAATGTGGGAGTGTAACAGAAAACTTGCACGGTATACAGTTTAGTATGGTAGTCTATGTCCTTACCTGTGTCGCTGCAGTAGAGGCTTTCCTTCAAATTTGTTAGAGACAATGACCAGTTCAAATGCTGCACCGCAGTGGTTTGGTGATGTATCCTCAACATTCTACAAGAGATTAACAATAGGGACATGGTGGATAATAGTAAATACATCACATTTTACATGGTTTCTCACAAGCCTTTCCACGTTTAAACTTCCATGATTAAATTTAGAACGGATTTATTTACATGACTCAATAACAAATAAACATTCTAGCTCTAGCACTATAAGTATAGCAGGCCTTGGGCTCATAGGGTCTATGTCGATCCCCCAGGGTACTGCCAGAACGTACCCTGGTAACTATCTGATATGGTTAGGGTTAGGATTAGGGAGTAGGCGTAGGCGACTCCCTAGACTCGTTAGTGGAGAAGGTGAGGTACGGTCCGGCATATTAGATAGTACCAGCAGAGCATATTAATCACGTAGATTTATATGCTCTGGTACCAGAGTACGTTCCGGTATACCAGTCGGTACCCAGGGTACATTCCGGCGGTACCCTGGGGTACATAGACTCCCTCAGCAGAACTTGGGGTAAAGAAGTAGAAGAGAACTGGTTGTTGTTTTAGGCGGTGCGGATTGTAATGTAGATTGTAAGCTATAGCCGTATAGGCCTACCCTATGTTTTGGATGTGTTCCTTGATAATTACTTCAATACTAGTCTAATCAAATATATAAAAATAAGTAAGAAACTACTCCATAGATCGTGATGTCTGATGATCGTGATCATATTCATAATGATCTGATCACTCGGCATTGAATAAAAACACATTTTGTTTTCATTCAATTTATTAATTAATCAGCATAACGTAACTCACAATATATGTTGGTTCTAGTTCTTTGCTAAGCTTATCTTTGAGAGAGTCCGCTGTGATCGACATTTTAGTTGAGTTTCCGTAAGTGCCTGATTGATGACAAATACGTTATATCTATGGTTATATGATACGATCTCCCAAAAACTCGTAAAAATCGACGATCACCGTGACCGATTCAGCGACACCTTGCGATAGAAAATTTATTTATTCGCATCAGCGACACCATGTGGCAGGATATGGCAGGGACCACAGAAACTATGCTTGAAAATGAGAGAGATCTTTATCATGCTAATATCAAACTAGTATATTATTTCTGTCATACTCAGTATGTACGATGCAGTACAACGTTATTAGTGCAAAGGACCTCATCCATATCTAATGTGCACACATGGTTTATTATAGATTCAACGAGTGAATAAAAAACCGTTTTTACTCACTCGTAGAATCACTGTCAGTAGAACTTAGAAGCAAAGATCGTAGAGTGAACGGATAGCCTACGGCACTCTAGAATCTTTGCTTAGAAGTGGCTTAGGAACACAGTCCTCTACCTCTAGTACGGTAGGTACTGGGAGTTTCGTTAGTTTTGCTTAGGGAAATTGTTTCATCATCTATATGGAGCCGTTAACATATTCAGCTATTGTTAGTGCCCAAGACCGTTATCATGCCCTGGTAAACCCAAGTCCATTGATGTTACTGAATGTAAACATACCTGACACAAAGGTACAGTGCAGTCAGTAGTGTACCAATACAGTAGTTTGTGGCATAATGGCATTGAAATGCTGAGGCTACTCTAGCTATCTGTAGTATAGGCCAGCCTAGAGTAGAATCAGATAATAAAAATTATACAGCCCCTACTCTATGGTTAACAATAATCTGCCTTCATTCGCTTTACATTATGATTTATGGCCCACCAATATCCGTACATCTGCATCGGTGATTTTTTGTTCATGATATTTTGCAAGACAGTTTGCCCCATGCAGTCTAAGAAAACAGTGCCTGATTATAGAGAATGTTTTTATATTGATACAATTTGACAGGTGTATTAATTACCTTTATCTAGATTTACCTAAAACTTGAAAACCTACAAGCGATCGGCTCATTTAAATTGCGTGGGGCAATCAATGCCATATGCAAGCTTACACCTGAGCAAAAGAGAGAAGGTGTTTGGACAGCTAGCAAAGGCAATTTTGCTCGAGGTAGGAGCTACATATATATTAGATACAATAATGTAACCCAAACCCAGAGAGGATAGGTTTCACCCTATCCTCTCTGGGTTTGGGTTACATTATTGTATCTACATATATATGTACTTGACAAAAACTGGCAATTTTTGCAATGAACTTAAATAGTTATAATTGTTTGAGAAATAATAATTAAAATGTTTATTTTATCTATTTTTTTAATGTCATCATGATTTTATAGCTGTTTTAATTTAGGACTTGCATGGGCATGTTCCCAGGAAAAGATTCCATGCAAGGTTGTGGTACCCCATTCTGCACCAGCTGCGAAAATCCAACCAGCGATAGACCTCGGAGTTGAAGTTATTAGGGTACCGGTATCAACTTTTTGTTATTCTTGCATTAGCACGTGGGCTTAACACATATCTTACAATAGTAATAACCTTAAATACAGATCATATCATTGTTTTGGTCATAATTGAGTATACTCTGCACTTTACTCTCTTCTATGTCTGCTGTCCACTGACTGAGTACTACTGTGCAGGGTGTTAGCCACGAAAAAAAAAGTCAGGGAGTCTCACCATCTGAGCGAAGCGAGGATGCTGCGGGTGCGAAGCGCCCTAGGGGGAGGGCCTTACCTTAAAATGGAGGAAATGTAGTCTGAAATACCAAAAAGACAGGAATCTGATACATTATTTTATATTCTTATAAGCACTGTTGTCAGTTATATAACTATAAGGTGTATAATATATAAAATTGGGCCACCCTCATGTCTCTATCAAATTTCATCTCCGTCTCGTCCAAGAATAGGTCGTCCAAAAGACGGGTAGACGGGTCTCTGGCTAACACACTGTTACTGTGTACATGCTTCCCAGGTTTCGTTGGAAGAATGGATGGGAATCATTTTCGATGGAAATTTATGTGAACGTGTGACTGGTACCTTCATTCACCCCTCTTTTGCAACTGACTGCATAGCAGGTAAGCGCATACATTGAGCAATATCATGTACAGTTGTTGCCAGCCATGCAGCAGTATTCCACCCTTATTCTAAAACCTGTTAATCTCAACTTGAGATCTGTTTTCATTTCTGATTTGTTCAATGCAAAATGTCTCATTATATTCAGGTAATGGTGTTATTGGTCTGGAGATCTTGGACACGCTTCCTGAGGTGGATTCTATTGTGATACCATTCGGTGGCGGAGGCCTTACCCACGGCATTTCGACAGCCGTTAAGCACAGAAAGCCGGAGGTGCAAATCTATGCTGCAGAGGTGGAGGGTGCTGCTCCACTGAAGGCTTCCCTTTCTGAAGGGAACACTGTTTTCATCGACTGCCATCACAGCTTCGTAGATGGTATGCTGTCTGCTTGCTTAGTTAACAGCAGGATCGTAATGCAATGTCCTTATACTGATATAACAGAACATGAAAAAATATGTATTGAGAGAAAATATTAAAATACGACAGAAATTTATTAAATACTTTAATTATTATGATTAAATTTTAAATATCAAATTAATTATTAATTATAATATAATGACATTATAATTTCAATGTTAAAGTCATATTGTGGATGTGTGTCATGTCTGTTGTTATCATGTTCATTCAGACTGGTCATAAATATTAGCATGCAAATGTGCTTTTTCCTTTTAGGAATCGGAAGTCGAACCGTTTCAGAGGAGATATTTCGAGAAGTCAGGAAGGTTGTGAAAGACTCCATAGTTGTTTCACCAAAGGAAGTCGCAGTTGCTCTGCGCTTACTGGTTGAAAACAGTCATGTGGTCGCCGAAGGAGCTGGGGCGGCATCTGTAGCAGCCGCCATGACAGGCATGGCAGGAAAAGGCAACATAGTGTGCATTGTAACTGGAGGCTGCATCGATACTGACGTCTTGGTAAAAATACTGCAAGGTGAACTGCCTTCGTGAGTGAGATATAAAGTATTTTTATAACATGATAATGATTTTCAGTATTCTCTGTAGATCTAGGGCATAGTAAAACTTTATAATATTTCCATAATGCTAACAATACTGCCAGTGTCTTACACACAGTGGTGGCATATGTTTACTAAGCCTTAGAAAGGTTACTTTGACTTGACTGTTTCACACTGATTTTTTGGTCAGAAAATATGAAAAATTACAATATGGAAAATATTTTTTAATGTAAGGGATAAAAATAGGTATATCTATTTCTGTAAGAACTAGATTTTACACATTGGTGCTGCTTTGATTATATCTGTAAATAAAATCACAATATATTTTGCATTCTACTTTTTGATATTTTTTGTCGAGATATTATAACGATACAATAATTTATTCATGACACTATATGCACAGCAGATGTATATATACAATAAATTTTGTAGCTTGCAAAGAGATGACCTACTGCAGCAATAGTTTGCTGGAAAAATATTGCTATGTTGCTAGAGTGCAAGAATCACTGCATTCCCTGTGCCTTTACCTCCAAAAGGCAAAGTGTTTATTTTATGCAAAATAAGATTGAAAGTATGCAGTAAGAAGAGCATAACAAATAATAAAATGGTTGCATACGTTCCTATGTACGCATATATATTTAAAAACGTTCCGAGTAAAGTAATTGGAACTGAAAAAACGAAAACAGTTAGCAGAGGGTAGTTTCGATCTACCGACCTCTGGGTTATGGGCCCAGCACGCTTCCACTGCGCCACTCTGCTTGTGTATTGCTGTCGGTTTGATTAGATTTATGTACTGTAGATATACACTATTCTTCATCGTATTTTAATAATAATGTATTTATTTTCTCGAACATCATAGTTTAGAGCAGTATATAATTATATTACGGCAATAAAACCTGCTATTTCGAATTAAATTGGACAAGAGTGAAAAAAATTCCAGACCCAATCCTGCGTCTTCACTAGGTTACTACTCAATAGATGGCGCCAGCGTTTTTATCTATTAGTAGACTGGTACTTGCTCCCACCTCGATTACTCGATGGGCCGAGAGGTGGGACCGGGTACTAGTCTAATCTATCAGCTGACGGTACGACACCATTTGTCTTTGTCGCTTCGTTTGCGTCAGTTTGCGTCAGTTTGTGTACGAAAATTAGAAGATAAGGAACGTTACTAATAATATCGAGTGGAAATCCTTTACGTTAAGGAATTGATGCAGCACGTAACACTTCGCTCCTGACTACATACGAATACTTTGAGGTGAGTGTAGTAATTTCTCCCACCCGTTTTTGGGTGGTGTCCTTTCAATGTTTATCCAACGGACAATGACCGATGAAAATTGAAAGGCCAAAACTTTGCAAAAGGGGTCAACTCATGTTGAAAATCTTTTGTTGAATTTCATCAAATTATTCCATCACTGTCTCGCGGATCATATATTTAAACTTACACGTGAATATGCATTCTAACGTTAGTCACTTCACGTTTGGTATTTTCGAACATAGCCGTACTCGTAGTTGCCAACAACGGATACGTATACGCCACGGGCCATTTTTGCCGGGGGTTTTTGTTTGCTAATGCCTGTGGGCGTATAAATCATTGGCAGTAGTAGTACTAGTACATTAGGTCTGTACTGTACACGATCACAGACTGTAAAGCACATCAGGGACTGTGCAGCGATCAGTTGTTCAGCGTGATTGTGTATCACTGTGGCTCATACACGCACACACACAGACGCGCATACAATCACAATACGAAATACGCTGTGGCTACGGGTACGGCAGCCGTATCTTAATGTCTCGAGGCTGGAGGTACGGCAGTCCATTCGCTTTCATACTTAACGAGACAAAGATTGCAGCGGGTGGCGCCAGATTTCGAAATAACGCCTTGGGAAATAAATTCACGATTTGAGAGTTTAGATGAGCTAGAACCCTAACGCCAAAAAGGGGCTTCAACGAACGACGGCTGCCGTACCTCCAGCCACTGTGTACTAAATAACGTACAACATCAGTGTGATTTGCCTGTGAGTTACTCTTATTTTACAACTAGGGATGCAACTTTGTAGTGATTGTAATTTTAGGATTGTTTACACTAGTGCAGGTGCGTGTAACAACTGAATTCTAATTGAGTTAACATGAAATTGATAATATTCGTGATGCTAATACTTCCTTTAACATTTGATGAATTAATTGTGCACTCTTGCTCAGCTCTCTCTTAATTTGCGAAACTGTAATGAATGTAAACAGGATGTTGGTATAACTATATAGGAATGACGTAAATTTGTGAAATGTATAGCGGCAAATTGCCTTCATCAAGCGGACAACAGAGTGAGAAGATGCTGGATGCAAATCATAGATTTCAACTATGATAACAGAACTCCCACTCACTAGAACTGATTATAATCCAATCTGCTGCCAATGTTATGTAAAGAATTTCAAACTTTCTGTACTTTCTATAATCAATTAATCATGAATGAGTGAATCTAAGATTGCAGGATAATTGAAAAGTTTTCATCTACTCAGAATGCTACTACATCAGATACTACATAGATCTATTCATGAATTGCTAGGCAGCACAGTGTTACATTTTTTGTATATTTATTCTTTTCGTTGAGAAATATTTTGACATTCAAAATTTGAATCAGTAACAACAGTTTCTTTGTCAATTGCTTGACATATATATGTCAAGCAATATGTCAGTATGTACTGTATTCACAGCCTTGGAATTTTGAAAAGCTAATGAGATTACAGTTATTTCATTCATCTGCTAATCGTTTCGAGTATAACCTTAAGATATCTAAAAGCATTAGCAGCACATAATGTTATAGTAGTTTGACATTTTGTAAAAGTAGTTCATGTTTTGATATATAATACTATTAGTTCCCTGCTGTCTAGAAACTGAATGTTACGCAACAGAGAAAATTCTAGAAGCTTGATTTTAAAAAAGTATCACGAACACCCCGAATCTTGTATTTTAATATAGAAACTGTCGCGCTCCACAGCAAACACACCCATTTTACTGCATACATTTCAAAGTCGTGTAAGCATTATGCAATAACACCACTATCGAGTGCAATGACATAATTGTTTTGTGTGCGCGCAAAATAGGCAGCAGTCGGTTTTATTGGTGTAGAAAAATGTTTTAGGGTCGTCCGCCCCCTTCGCTACTGGAACCCTGGGGCTAAACTCGTTCAGCTAAAAATAAAGTTTGAGGCAGCCGTTCGTTTTGCTTCCTTCCTGTACAGTGTAAACTTATGGTGGCCATCACCTCCCGCAACATGTATGGCGGCAGTGCGGCACAGATGTGCTAAGAACAGCTCTGGTAGAGGAGAAAGGAGGCGTAGACTGGGGAGGGAACGATGGCTGTATCTATATATATATATATATAATTGCCACCGTGGCTGTCCACCGCCGCTGTTGCTGTCAGAAAAATCGCCAGGGCACTGGTCAACTGCATTGTGTCTTAAGATCTCGTTAAATCTGATCAGATATCATAAGATGCGTCATGGTGATCTGCTATTTAGTAGTTTCCATAAAAAAGGTAGTGGATAACGATGTACTTGCCATATATTGTGAGCCGGTTCGCACAGGTATCCATCCACACGGTCACCCATGGATAAACCTGTGAATGGTAGCTGAGTAAACAATACTTTTTTGTTCGAGGTCATAGCATAGTTGTTGGGTTGTAAGACAACGGAGAAACGCCTATATGCAGATTTTCTTCGAAAAATGAATCGGCATTATTTCGTTCCGATCTCAAGCAAACGTGAAAAAAATAGGAGGAAATCGTGTGTTTGTGTATGCGTGCGTGCGTGCGTGCGTGCGTGCGTGCGTGCTTGTGTGTATTGCGCGCGTGCTTGTCCTTGAAATGATTCCGTGATGAGAATGCAGTAAAGTTCGCGGCTGAGTGCCTTGAGCGATATCAGAAGTAGCCGTTATCCCGCGTACATAGGTAGATAGAACCCCACCCTCCCCAAGCAGCCGCAACTCGCTGGCCTGGATATGGGCCTCTAGATACTAGGAATCTGACCTGGACGTTCTCAATAAATAAAAGAAAGGCAATGTATCTGTGGTGCATAATATATTATACATGTACGCGTGCTAAGCAGCGCACGGTTGCACGCACGCATGCACGCACAGCGGCATGCATGTACAGTTGTTACCCTTAATTGGGAAATTGGGAGGTTTATTCAGCATAGCCGAACTAGTTCATGGCTGTTGCTATCATTAAGTGTGAAGTGGTCAGAGCTATTGCTGTTGATCGGTTCATGCCGGCTGGTCGGAGTTGCGAATGGTGTTCATAACTTGTGAAACCTAATCTTACTTACGCTTAACTAATTAAAGCTGCACCTCAGCTTAAACTAATTAAAGCTGCACCTAAGCTAAACTGTAGTGACTGACAGTCAACCTGCTAGGTCTGATATAATGCGCCAGTGGTGTGTGACAGCTAATCCTTAACACTTTTCTCAAAAGACTGAAAGGTCGGCCAGCAATGTGACAACCACATGACTCTAGGTTGACAACTTTACACTGCTGATGTTGTTATTTGTCTCTGAGTTTCCTGGCGTAGCACTGACATCGCCTGACATCATAGCAGGAATGTCAAACAGCTGTTGGTAACCACGTAACCAAGGCCGTGCATCTACTATACAGGCAGTATGCGCGCACACTCCCCTTCACAGAAAACCTAACCGACTGGTGGTGGCAGTCTACGCTAATCATCATCGCTGGGTGGGTGGAGATCTCTCTTCGTTGGTGGCGATGGATGAGGAGGGGTGTGGTGTAGGGAGGGAAAAGGGGGAGGTAAACAGAATCAGCTGCTCAGCCGCTGCGCATGCGCACTGGCGCCGCGAGGCACGTACCGCAGCAGCACTGTGGCAGCAGTATCGACGTGAGTGAGTGAGAGATCTGTTGTTTGCTCACCAGCAGCCGTTCACGCTCGGTAGGTTATATCTAGGCATCACCAACACACACGGACACGCATACAGCCTCACAGAATCGCACGAAGAAGACCTTCCTAGTTTCCGATCATTGTTAACCAGAGACGTCGGCGAGAAAGTACTCGTACTGCGTGTCACTACGTACTGCTGCGTCGGGATTTCTCGAGAGCGAGAGAAGCTGCATTGCTACGGTTTCAGCCGGATAACAACGAGGGGAAGCTGCGAGATAGACGTGAGTACTGCGCTATGGCTTCCTCGTGCGCAGGGGGCTGAGTGCGTGAGCGAGCGTTGCCATGGGCGATACCTGCATAGCTACGACGGTAACTATCGCTGTGTCGGCGTGGGTTTGCACTGGTCGTCTCTCTGGGTAGCTACAAGGAACAGCCGAGTATAATTATATATTAGAACTTGAAGACGTGGTGTTTGGACGCACGTATCTAGGCATGATTTACTCTTACAGCTACGTGGGCTGCTGTACATACGTACATGCACATACGCACGCACGCACGCATTTGTAGATGCTGCACATACGTTTGCACGCACGCACGCACGCATATTTAGATGCTGTACATACGTATGCACGCACGCACGCATATGTAGCTGCTGTACATACGTATGCACGCACGCATATATGTAGCTGCTGTACATACGTATGCACGCACGCACGCACATAAGATATATACGTGGCTGCCGTGAGCAGCTCGTTTGATATTTTGGTCTGTGTAAACGTTCGTGTGCGTGGTGAGTGAGAGCTTGTCACTGGTGGGGGTGTCGGTGGTGTCGTTGCGTTGTGCTCGGGTGCACGCTGAGTGATGAGCTTGTCACTGGTGGGGGTGTCGGTGGTGTCGTTGGTTGTGTCGGGTGCACGCGGAGTGAGAGCTTGTCACCAGTGGGAGTAGTCGAGTGTGTCTTTGGTTGTTCGGGTGCACGTGAGTGAATGTTGCGCGTGATATTTATGAGGCGAAGGGGGGGTGGGGGTGGGGGGGCCCTCACGTGACTTGGGGCTCCGCGCTGTAACAGAGCTCCTGGATGGAGGGGGGGGGTATGTTGGTTTGAAACCCCGTGTTCTCCTGGTGAGTTACATGCTGAGAGTGAGAGAGTTACCAGGGTTTGCATTGGACGGCTACGTTGCTCCGAGCAACCGCAGGGATATTGCCGAGTTCATAACGAGCGTGTCATGGGATGATGAAGTTAATATATGCGCCCTATATTCGTCATAAGCGTCCATCGGTCTGCCGAGGGAATTGCTAGTAGCTGCGGCTAGTGATGTCCCGATGATCGATTATAATCGAAAGTCAGTCGTTTGCAGCAACCGACTAAGCACTCGATCTGGTAGCCACAATCAATGGCATTTAACCGATTATCTTCGATCATCGATCGGTTGGGTGCAACTGATGATCGATGATGAAATTCCAACCGATTCCCATCACTAGCTACGGCGCTTCGTGTTCAACTTCATTCCTGCGTTGCTTGGGAATATGTCGGTCGTAGTGTTTGTCACATGCCTCGTCATTCAGTGTTCTGGGGGAATTGCTAGTAACTACGGTGCCTCGTGTTCGACTTAACTCCTTCGTCACTCGCAAATATGTCAAAAAAAATGGAGTGGTGATGTCAGAATCGATAAAAATGCATTGATGTTTCGTGAAAATGTTCGCTGTGTGTGTAAATCCTCTTTCACACGTACTTACATTAACAAGGCACGTGACGGGCGCAGCTGTGTTTAGGGTGTTGCTGTACATTAATGGAGTCGTGGTGAATCGAGGTTTTTGTTATATTGCCGGCTACTAGGTGTGAATAACCGGCCAGCGAACGCCATGTAATCACGTACTTCTTTTCTATTTGGGCCGGCGCTGCAATGTGCAGCGGTGCATGAATCGATCGGCTTGTTTTTTAGCTATACACTATGTCGCTCCGGTATCTGTGTCAACTCGCTCACACATTCGCACCAAGATGGCCGCCGCACGGCAGAATCTCCTGCGCGTAACCATGGCGATGCGAGCTGCGCTCACGACGTCTGGCTTTCTTTCAGGTGCCGAAGGTGTCTCCCCCGCATCATCCTTTCTCCGCCGTCGATCAGCAGAGATGCAGAGCCACGAGAACATGGACGCAATGGCGGCGCTAGTGTGCGGCTGCCTCAACGTCCGCGTGAGTTTCGTCAGCGGGCAGCTGAGGCCTGTCAGCTTCTTCCAGTTGGCGCTAGCGGGCGAGGAAGCGCTCGAAGCGTTCTTCAAGCAGAAGCTCATCGATGTGACCCTCGACCTCACCGGCGTGACAAAGTAGGTGCCGCGTCTCGGCGCGGAATTCCGATTCCGATTTTCTTTTCGTGTTCCTCCTCCGATTCCATCTTGTATAATTTACCCGTCGTTACGACTCAAATTCCGTCTCATATACCATCTCTTGTTTTCATGTCATTCATTTCTTGTACCCCGCCTTCGATTTCGTCACGTTCGCCCGTCATTCCGTCATCGACTTTACTAACAACTCCACATTTCTGTATGGGTTCTGTGCAGTGTGTTAGAGCAGGTAGTTGGTACGCGCCGGGGAAGGATTATGAATACCCGTGAGCGTAGATTAGTAAGCGTCGTGGAAAGAAATGTGGAGCACCGCGATCGAAGCTTCTACAGAAACAAAGCTCCACCCGGTGTTCGTCATACAGAACATCGGCGTTAGACTTAGACTGTCTCTGTGAGTCGCGGAACGCCTAGCGGGGTCGGCAACGGGGGGCTTTCGGGGCGGTCTACGTTGGCGTCTCGATCGTTGGTTCGTTTCGATGCGATAAATGTCAGATGGAGTTCAAACAAGATCTCTTTCGTTCGTGATTCGACTGCCTGATAAACTGCCAGTGTTGCTTAGACTGCTATCGAAGTCGTTTGCGCACCACCACACCTGTAAACAAGTGCGTAAACACCTCGTGCCACGTACGCACCTCAGGTGAATCAGTTTTAATGTAACAGCTGACTTACTCTGTCAGATTGATTGCGCCCCGCACTGAAACAAATCATTCGAAAGATTTGAAAATGTAAATAACATGAGGCTAGGTTTAACTTCACTTGCTATGGCCGCTCCCTGGTTAGTCTGAAAAGGTGCAACAATACTTTAGGTACCCTTTCTATTTTACAAGATTTTAAGAGATAAAGTGCTGTAATTATTAGTTTGTACGCCAGCATTCGTCGGTTACACACGCGTGCGGTAAAGAAGCGAATGCTGGGAGTTGGGTCGTTAGT